ATGATTGAGGACACTATGGAAGTTTTTATGGACGATTTTTCGGTTATTGGAACTAATTTCGAAAATTGTCTTGAAAATTTGAAGAAGAGTTTGGAGAGATGTGAGACCCATGACTTGATTTTAAATTGGGAAAAATGCCATTTTATGGTACAAGAGGGAATTGTTTTGGGTCACATGATTTCAAAGAAARGTTTGGAAGTTGACAAAGCTAAAATTGAGGTGATAATGCAATTGCCCGAACCTACTTCGGTCAAAGGCATTCGTAGYTTTTTGGGACATGCGGGTTTTTACCGACGGTTCATTAAAGATTTTTCTAAAGTTGCAAAACCCCTTTGTAAYTTGTTGCATGTTGACCAAGCTTTTGAGTTCACCTCCGATTGTAAAAAGGCTTTTGAAACAATCAAAAATGCTCTTKTCTCGGCACCCATTATTATCACTCCCGATTGGTCTCTACCTTTTGAGGTAATGTGYGACGCAAGTGATTGGGCCGTGGGTGCCGTTTTGGGACAAAGGAAAAATATTTTTTTTTACCCCATTTACTACGCAAGCAAGACTCTTATTGAAGCCCAATTAAATTATACCACCACGGTAAAAGAGTTGCTTGCGGTAGTATTTGCTTTTGATCGTTTCCATTCATACTTGATAGGTACAAAAGTCACAATTCATACAGATCATTCTGCAATAAAGTATTTATTTAACAAAGTTGATGCRAAACCACGACTTATTAGATGGATTCTTTTATTGCAAGAATTTGATCTTTTGATTGTTGACCGAWAGGGATGTGACAATCAAGTGGCCGATCACCTTTCTAGAATTGAAGAAAATGTGTCAAGTGGGGGGAGTCATGAAATTAAGRAAGTTTTCCCGGATGAATATGTTTTGGCCATACAACAGAATTTTCAAAAACAAAATCCTTGGTATGCAGATATTGCCAACTATCTTGCATGTGGCCTTAAACCATATCATTTTCAGGGAAACCGATTTAAAAAATTTCTTCACGATTGCAAGCATTATTTGTGGGACGATCCATCCCTTTTTAAATTGGGATCGGATCAAATTTTGAGAAAATGTGTCCCGGATGATGAAATCCAAGATTTGTTAAAGGAATGTCACGCATCACCGTACGGAGGCCCCTTTGGTGGACAACGTACGGCTGCTAAAATTTTACAAAGCAGATTTTTTTGGCCCACCATATTTAAGGATGCTTTTGAATTTGTGAAGAGTTGTGATCAATGCCAACGCATGGGGAATTTGTCCCAAAGAAATGAGATGCCCTTGAACAATATTTTGGAAGTCGAACTTTTCGATGTTTGGGGCATTGACTTTATGGGACCACTTCCCATGTCTTTTCATAATCAATACATTTTGGTTGCGGTAGACTATGTCTCCAAATGGATAGAAGCAACGGCTTGCCCAAGAAATGATGCCAAAACGGTAGTGAAATTTTTGCATAAAAACATTTTTGTTCGTTTTGGAACACCCCGAGCATTGATAAGCGATGAAGGGACTCATTTTATAAACAAAGTGTTAAGCACCACTCTTGAAAAGTACAACTTCCGACATAAAGTAGCCACAGCTTACCACGCACAAACCAATGGTCTTGCGGAACCTTCAAATCGTGAGATAAAAAATATTTTGGAAAAGGTGGTTAAGCCAAATCGTAAAGATTGGTCGCTTAAATTGGATGATGCACTTTGGGCTTACCGTACCGCTTTCAAGACTCCATTAGGCATGTCTCCATACCAACTTGTTTTTGGAAAATCTTGTCACCTTCCGTTATAGTTGGAATACAAAGCATTTTGGGCTATAAAGGAATTAAATTTAAAT